GCGGGGAGAGCCAGGCTGAGGAGGGGAGGAGAAAGAAAGGGTGTGTTTCTCCTCACTGCAGCATCCGTGAAGCTTCAGCCATCGGATGAATGAAGAGGGAGAAAGAGGGAGCGATAAAAGAAAGCAAGAGAGAGAGAGAGAGAGAGAGAGAGCGAGGCGTCCCAGACAAAAGAAGAGGAAGCCGAAGAAGAGCTTCTGACAGAGCAGGCCGAGGTAAGAGCTCACTGCCGGAGAGGTGTGGAAGGTTGCCGAACACACCTCGTCCTTGCGCGCGTGTGTGTGCGTGTGTGCATATGTGCATGTGTGTGGGGGAGTGGGTGATGGAGAACCTGAATATAATCTCGTCTGATGTGCATGGAGTCATGGTTTTGGAGACTGTTCAAGGCGTGGTCTCGTTTCCGGATTCTTGCTTTTCAGTTTGTGGAACTGGAAGATCTCCAGATGCTTTGTTTTGCCGAGACGGAGCTTCTGGGTGCTCAGTGGTTCTGTGCTCTCCTGGTGGTCTCCGCCTATCCTCAGGCTTGTGTCCCTGGCAGGAGAGCGCCTCTGCCATTGTTTCTTGTCCTATCTCATAAAAGTGTCGGTAGTGGTTGAGCAGAAAGCAGATGATGTGGTCTTCATCACTTATGAGGTAAACAAGGGTCATCAGAAGATTACACGAAGTGCTCTCTACACAAGTTTTTTAAAGATGTTCTGAACCCTGTGATTTATTCCATGGACCCAAGGAGAGCAGCACCCTCGCTGCGGATGAGCGATCGGTGCAGACTCTTTATTCAGGTTTTACTCTACTGCAGAAACTATCAGTCAGTGTCTGGAGACCCGTGTAAAGCGTATTCTACTGGACAGACGTGGCGTGTAAACGCTACTGAAGTTCTTTTCCAGTAAATTCAGAGCTTTTAACACACTTTTCATTCCCACGTCATTTCAGGAGGCTTTATCTCACAGCCGTGCTCATCATTCTCAGCCTCATGTAGCCTTCTCTCTTGGCTTCATGGACAAGAAATGCACAAACATGTATGGCCCCGGTTCCTTCCAGACAGCTCTTCTCCAAATGCTTGCCACTGTGGATTGTATCAGCACATGTTGGGGATCGCGCTTGAGCAGTGTTCGGTCCGGCGCAGGAACAGAGCGTCTCCACACAGAGTTTTATGTCTGGAGTCAAAGCCACAGATTATTATTCGTCTTTTGCTTCGAACAAAAACGTTTCTCCTCCTGGACCACACGAGCTACAGCCACCCAACTTTGCGAAGACATCCAAACTGGTCTGACTTGGGTTGCTATATCTTTTCAGACTGGTACCACTATTCATAGAAACTTTCTCCGGGTTTACTCCGGTTTCCCCCATAATTCCAAAAACATGTGGTTAGGTTAATTGAATAATCTAAATTCCACTTAAGTGTGAATGTGTGTGTGAATGTTCCCCTGCGATGGACTGGCGACCAGTCCAGGGTGTACCCCCACCTCTCACCCAATGTGCGCTCACCCCCATGACCCCTGAAAGGGATTCAGCGGAAGGAAAGAAGGAAAATGAATAAATGAACTTACATCTTTTATGACATTAATGACAGTTTCCTAGCAACCAAACTGCTTCCCTTAGCAACCATATTTGCATACCTCAATCTCAACTTGGAGATATGGGGGGGGGGTGTTTATGTTACTAATATTGGCATGGGGAACATTATATAATGTCACTGACGCCTCCATAGCAACCAGACAGTTTACCATAGCAACAAATTTGGCATATGTCTATCTCAGCTCAGGAAAATGAAAGAGTTCATTGATAAACATTGATACCTCTCCAAAACACAAGGGGCACATTTTACAAGCCAATAAGAAATTTGCATACTTTAGCCAGGTTCGAGGTTCTCGAGTGCTTCCTACAGAGCCGCTCCCTGAGCTTAGATTATACTTCTGCATCAAACCTAAACAAGGCAAGGATGTAGCCTCTCTGGTCACAAAGAGGAAGTCCCTCCGTGAAACAGCGCTCACTAGTGTTTATGAAGTGATGTTACACTCTAGGTTACGCATCTAAGCAGAAGTGTAAAATGATCATTTCTGTGTGTTTGAGGTCATTGTGCTGCTGCTTCATGCTGTTACGACGGGTAAGGGCATGTGATGACCCAAGCAGCGGGACCCTGTGTGGTGTTACTAAAGGAGACTGTGGTGCCAGGTCTCTTCAGCTCCTCCTCAGTGGTTTTAGGCTGATCCCTGACTTTTCTCCTGATGATTGAAGGAGGGAGATCGCAGTCACCTTCAATTTACTCCATGGTCTCCAGTTTTGTCCCTGGTGTCCTAGATATCTCTTTTGCCCATACTGAGTGAAGGGCAGGAGGCTTTTTAAAACAGAATATTGCAGACTGATAAACTAACTATTTAGAAATCCCAAAATGTCTGGACCTTAATTTACTTGTATTTAAATGATTTCCCATATACCCCCCCTCGTGTTTCTTTGTGTTCCCAGAGTTTGTTCACTGGGATACAGAGCTGCGTGGTTGTGGTGGACCAGCCAGTTCTGGTTCTTACGGATGGTATTTCTCAATAGTTCAGAACTGGGTTAAAAGAGCATGTGACCTGATGGGTTTCTGAGAACCCCTGTCAGATAACTCCAGCAGCCTTGACTTGGCTTCATATTCACTTTCCATCAGCGGTACGTGACAGAAGGGAGGCTTTGTTTGGGATCATCGACTGGATTTCTCAGAACACTTCAGTGCTTCATCTGCTTCCTGGCATTGAACTCTCTAGCTGCTGAACTCCAGCTCAGAGGAACAGAACAGACACATATTGTTCACTTTCTCTTTCTTTCTCTCTGAAAGTAGTTCTGAACGCTTCATGTTTATGAGGGATGACACTCTTTCCCTCTCCCAAGTGAACCCTGTGTTTCACCAGCTCTCGAATGCTCCCGTCTAGGATCAAAAAGCATGAGTGGCATTGTTTCTGTGTGCCTTTAGGAAGAAGCAAAGTAGGAGATTTTTCCCAGATAAATCCAATAATCTCAGAATGCAGCTCTGAGCTGTGGGGCATCTGGAAAAAAGTGTTTCGATAAATTCAATATTGAGTTCATTCATTCATCTTCTAACTCGCTTTTAAATTCCCTTTTGGGGTCACAGGGGTTTGCTGGTGCCTGTCCAGTGCACGTCGGGTGAGAGCCGGGTGAAAAAGGTCCGGTGGAGTGTTGTATCAGATGGGGTGACGCTCATGTGTCCCACTTCACTTCCTGTATTTCAAAAACTAATAGTTGAGGCGTTGACCTCAAAAATGCATCTTTAAAAGATAGATGAAATGTTTGATTAAAAATGAATAAATGCATTTAATGCATCAAAACAATAATGACATAGTATTGTTGAGTAATAAATTACAAACAAGAAATGTGTGTTTGTTTCAGACACAGAAGTTTAGCAGGGGAATGTTTGCACATATTGAAATAGTGATGTTGACAATTTCCCAGTCCAGCATTACAGCAAACACGGAACTAGATGTGAAACCAGCAGGGAATAACATTATTATTAACAAAACTCATTAAATGCTGAAACTATTTTAGTATTAATACAGAACTTTTTCTCCATCTGTGTATTCCTCGACTAACAGCAGTTTGTAAAGGTTAAAGCTTCACAAACTGACCGCTGTGTCCGTCACCTTTCACACGCTTGACCTGAGCGTTACATTAGATTCAGCCTCAAGAGAAAAGAGCAGCACTCGTCCGCTTCACGCCTGATGGTCGCATTTCTGCATGAAAACTTGAGATGGACCAGGATGGAGGATGCAGAGCCCCATGACCCCGAAAGGGAGCAAGCAGGTAAACAAGACGAACGAAGGAATGCAATCACCGTCGAGACTTTACCGAGACTCTAGATGCACACTGGTCTACTGCCACCCAGGAGATGGTACCTCACACAGACGGTGGCTTACAGGGAGTGGCAGAACTGCAAAAATGCCGTTGTCGATTGGCTGACGGGTGGTATGGCACTATTGTGGGATGGCGTCTTGTGTATTCCGCTCTGGAGAGACCCACACTCGGGGCTGTGGTTTTTTAACCTTTGAACGCACGTGTGACTCAGGAGATCTTCCATCCCTGCTTGATGTTCTGAGATCAATGTGTTTGTGAGAGAGATGCTGCTGAGCTTCTAGCTCCAGGAGATGACCTTGCTCTGCACCTCGAGACAGCTCTTGAGAGATGGATGAGAGACAGCAGCGATGCCCCTCCCTCGTTATCATGATGATCCACATGAGAAGGTGATCTTCAGAGGATGCTTCTCTCTTCTGACGGCTGACGTTTTGTGGTTCTGGCTTGAACCCGGACGGAGGCGTGTGTGTGATGAAGAGCTCTTTGAGCAGGAAACACAGGGGATGTGTCTGCTTTTGTTCTGGGGCCATTGAGATGTTTCTGCGGGACTCTCTGGGGACTACAGACCTCATTAACTCAGAGGCTTGCGGGGGGTGGGGAGGTGAAACCAGATGATGACATCCCAACGTTAAACCCCAATCAAACCATACACTGATTGTCCTGGCCTCTGCCTCTCAGCGATCTACACCAGCAGGAGCACACGAGGACGTGTGAGGCAGATGTTTTAGGCAGATCTGGTGAAATCGGAGGTCATCTGTTTCTTTGGGGCATCTGGAATCGCAGTAATCCACGGTTTTGGAATGATGTGAATCACATCGACATCAAGAAAGTGCTCCTCATCAGCAGTGATTCCTGAAGAACAATAATGTCGTTTCAGATACGCTTCACCGCGTGCTGCTGGTCCTCACCGCTGCTGTGCCTCGTCCAGGAAATAACCCTTTGATGCATGTTTTGATCGGCTTGTTTCCTGCGGAAAGTTTAATCCTGTTATTTGGAGAAAAGTATTGATTTGTCCTTTTTAACCAATAATTCTTCAGAATGATTTGTGGATATGGAGGATGTGGCACTGCCTACAGCCGCCACTGGGAGACACAGTGTTACATACAGGGAAGCGATACGGGCGCTTCCAGTCTATTCTTTCTTCCCAGTGATGTGTGCAGGTTTTCTGTCGCTCAGTTGGTAGAGCATTGTGCAAACAATGCAGAGGTTGTGGGTTCAAACCCCAGTGAAAGCAAAACTGACAAAAAATTTGTGTTATTTGTCCTATTCCACATACATTTATGTATAAAGAATGTTCCATATAAAATAAGTAAAGAAACAATACACCACATTGTAAATTCCTCATTATGCTCATGATAAAACAATATATCTTTAACTTTAAGAGTTGTATCTAGAATATTACCAAAAAAATCCAACCAAAACATTTTAGAGTAAATTTCCTTCTCACCAAAAAAAAACCACATTTAATTTCAATGTCCTTATAAAATCTAGCAGCCACTGTAGAGGCAACTGCGAGTGTGATATGTGCGCCGCCATGACAGTCAGAGACAGGGTAAACATATGCACACACGACTTTCTGATGTCCACAGTTTCAGCGCTCTGCTTCATCTATGGCTCACACACACAGCAGTTATAAACAAATTAATTTTGTAATTTTAAGAGAAGAATTTGAGAGAGACTGAATTTGATGGTTGGCAGCATAAATGATCTCATGATGTGATGCCAGCGGTCAGTCCGCTCTGCTCTGTGTAGCAATCACATGGTCCCACCTAGTTTTTTAGGGGAAACTTGAGGCATCAAGAACTAAAGAAAATAAACTTAAAACACCAAAAAAAATCATTAAATATTTCTGAGAAAACCATTTTAAACTTTTCCCATAAACTTGTATTGGCCAGAAATCCGTCGGCAATGTGAGACACTTGGTTTGTACATGTTAATTTTTGGAAAACAAACTCCCATGTGCGCTACGCTCCCAGCTCACAAGGCCTCGTGCATGTGATCCCTTCCACGGGCGAGGCATTCCACAAAAGCGACTTCTGCAAGCGTTTACTGTATCTGTAAGAACTTGTTTACACTTTTACCGGTTAGATTCTAATCGGCTCCTCACGGCGGCACTGAAATCAGCCAAACGAAACATTTGCTCAGTTATCGATGCTTCAGTCGAATAATCTGCTTTGAGCTTCTTCTCCAAGTTATTACCACAACGTTTCATAACATTTACTGAACATAGAATACATTATTAAACACGGAGCTGTTTACTGTTAACAAAGGGCGAGCTTTTAAGAGGAAGCACTTATTTCAAGCCGGCACTGGGCAGAGCTTGCATTAAGCACTGGAGATTCCCCGGAGGATCCCCCGGTGCACCTGCTCCACCAGTCTCTAGGCTCCAGGTCTGTGACGATGTGGGCCACTCAGTGATTGATGAACTGATGTTTGGTGTTTGCTTTTTGCAAACGATTATTTTTGCAACCTTTTTTAACGTGCGAGGACCCACCACAATCACATGCGACGCTTGATGGCATTCATCCTTCGAAACAATAATATCCCAAGCAGAGAGAGGGTTCGGGAGCGGGGCGTGGGCTTGGGGGTTTGGGTTGCTGGCGGGAGAGCAAGATTCCGGTGACTCGGCACATTAACTCCAGAGTCTGTGGAGAACATGAATATGAATGAAAAGATAGAGCCCCCCCTTCACCCATGAGTGACCCCCTCGCCGCTGCTCCTTCTCACACCCACATCGCACTGGTGTTCAGAGCGGGACAAAGACAGGGAAATATTAAAGTTGTTTTTTTTGTTCTAAAAAAAAGCTCTAAGCAGATGCTGCACAAAGAAACAACACATTTCCAGTTTCTCTTTCTAAAAACACACAACACAAATCTGATTGTCTGTGTGTCGCATAGAGATAAAAAAAGTTCTATTTTTAATGAAATATATTTAAATGTTCCTCTGACAAGATGTAGTAAAATGCTGCTGAAGATAACCTGAGTATATTTCTTTGATCCACACATAAAAATGGCGTGACAAAAACAGCTTTGTTGGTGTTAAATCATGTAAATATCAATGGAACCAGGAAATTCTTCTCCATAAGGTTCTCGAGTACATTTTTACCGCTTTCATAAGGTTTAACACAGAAATGTGGCGCAGTGGGTATCACTGTGGCCTTCCAGTTAGAAGGTTGTCAGTTTGAGGCTTGCTGGTAACCTCCTGGAAGGTGGTCCCCGTGCTTGCGTGGGTTTGCTCTAGGTACTCCGGTTCCCCCCACAATCCAATTCAAAGAAAGCTGATGGCTGGGTATCGAGGCCTCATGTTGATTTTGAAGGCTCTGAACCGTCTCCTCTAAGATGTAATGATTGATTAGGTTAAAGCTGCACATTGATGCTGCGGGAGTCTATTCCCAGCACGACAAGCTGATCCCCTTCTGATACTGCTGATCTTATCGATGAAGAATGATGCATTTGCCCTCAGAAAGAAGGTCATTGGGAGAATGGTTTGGGAGTTTAGTTTGCCACTCTACCACTACGGAGAGAGTTTGAGCATTGTTCGAGAGGAAAACCCCTACCTGGCTACTCAAAGACGCTACGTGCTGAGTCAGGTGTTGAACAGGCACAGGTGTTTTATCAGCATTAATATCAGGGTTGTCCATGTGAATATAAAAATCTCCAGCAGTAACTCAGAAGAGGAATTAAATACCGGTTCAGGAAAAGTTTCCGTTCTACTTGATCCGAGCGCTGCCTTCAACACAGTCACCCACAAAATCCTGTTGGTCTTTCTGAAATAAAGTGATTCAGATCGTACTTAGTAGGAAGAGGTTTCTATGTGAACGTAGGTGACCACATGTCAAAGTGGACGGCAGTGTCATGCAGAGTGCCTCAAGGCTCAATCCTTGCCCCTCTCCTCTTTAACCTGTACATGCTTCCACTGGGTGTAATCATGAGAAGAAACCAGATATCTTACCACAGTTATGCATTAATAACTTGATGAGACTAAGAGCTGGGGGCATAACAACATTCTTTTGCCTCTTGTGAATGTGCTTCTGGTGCGTCGGGGTATAAACCCTGGATGAGGTGCAATCGCACTCCTCAACTTTCCCTATCACAAGCTACACTATCAGAAGTTCCACTCCTTCAGTGAAGACAATGGCATCCCGGTGCTGTTCTACCAGCCCTGACGTGGAACCAGAGCAGAAGCTTCTCGGGGAGGAGGCTCATCATTGAGCGTCTGGGTTTCCAACACTCTGACTCAGCGCTCGAGGGGTTCAGCAGACCCCTCCAGTCTATCCTTTAGATGAGCCTTTGCCTTTCACTGCATTGGACGGTGCACGGTTGTTTCAAAGACGTTGACTTCCAAACTCCTTCTCTCTGAGGTTGAGGAGGAGCTGATGAAGCTATGAATATGTTTTTGCTCTGAGGAGATCTGTTGGCAATCTCTTCCGGGTGAATGGATAGTATGTGGGTGGGATGACACCATACTTCCTAGAAGTAAACTTGGGTGGTTTCTTGGGTGGATCAGACGGGGACTGGTCACCGCTGCTGGTTGGTGGAACTGGTTAAGTATCTTCTATGTTCGTAAAATGTTAATAATAAATACAGGGCATCGTGCTTGAGCTGTAGTCAAGTCCAACACCATGGTAACATTGGTTACCTACAAGCTATAAAGGGTATGTATGTAGAAACATCTCGTCCGGCCCCGAGGTGTAGCGGTCGGTGCTGCGGTTGCACAGGGCATCGTGTGTTTGAACCTGTCGACATTTCATCAGCCTCATCCTCTCTCTACCCACTTCTCTTCTGGTCATTTCTACTGTCCTATCTGGCCAAAAATGTACATAAAGTATTTTAAAAACTTGTTTTGCATTCACTGTGTTTTTTAAACGGTGACAGAAGCTTACGGCTGTGCCACTGAACACAGGGTAGCATTGCATCAAACAATTCAACAGTGAGTCTGAACTCTAATAATAAACACAGAAGAGTGCTATCAGTGCTATCCAATGCTATCAGCCAATAAGCAAAACGGTAAAAACCACACGATGATTAATCAGAGCCGCGGTGGAGGTCCCTGTCCAGCACATGCTCCTTGGGTTTACATGAACCGAATCAGGACTTTAGAAGTTCTGACCAGTCCCTTTATTTCTGACGGGGATCAGGATAGCTGACCCCGTGACACTGTTCTGGATTCTGTTAATCGTTTGATGACTTTATTTGTCCAGTAATTATTAACATTAGTGAGAGAAGAGATAGAGACAGCCATTGAACATTTCCTCAGGTTGTGTCGAAACATTTCCATGACGGAGGAGTAGAAGATGGATCAGATGGAAATGTTATGATTGTAATCTTCATTTTCAAGGCTTCTGTGTATCAGTGATATTAGAGCGAATAACTGTAAAATATTATGAGAACAGTAAAGAATCAGTGAAACCGCGGTAAACCAAACTCTACCGTTCTTACAGCCAAACGTTTCCTGGCGAACCAAACAGCAAACCAGCGCAACAGTAGAAAAATATCATTTGCTCTTTGCTTGCTTTTCGTGGTGTCTATTATTGAAGATGCCCCCCCCCCTCTCTCTCTCACAGAAGTGATTGGAGCCAGTGGGGGCTTCGATCTCTGAGTCTGGCATCACCAGTCTGTTGCAGAATGCTTCTAGACGAGCGGCACCCAGCTGGTGTAGGAGGAGAGAGCAGGGCTCTGCTTCTCTTGCTTCCTCTCTTCCTGAGTCTGCGGCAGACAGAAGCACACATTCAGATTCCAGCGGACTGTAAGTGTACGCAGCATTCAACAGTTCACTAGAGTTTGTTCCTATTTTCCCACCTCCTCTTCAATATTGTATCAGTTCAATAAACATATTTTTACTTTACTGTACTTTCTCCGGTTAGAAACAGATTTTATCTAATGTTTTAGTTGACATTAAAGGGGCCGTATTATGCAATTTTTATAAATATTTTATTATAAATATTTCTGCACAGAAAACACACTTCCTCGGATTGTTCTTCAGCACTTCCGGGTCAGACAGCTCACCCAATCTGCATAGAGATGAGCTGTACTAGAGATTAATCTGATTGGTCAGTGGGCGGAGGTAAGAACAGTGGGCGGTGCTAGGAACATCGAGCCGCTTTCAGCTCACAAGAAAGGAATAAAGGATTACATAAACATGCACGAAACATTCCAAAATAAAACCCGAGGCATGTTTTTGATGAGGGAATGACACTAAACAATGCAAGGGGTGTCAAAGAAGTAGATTTTGCAT